AGTCATTAAATTTTGATCAATGGGTGTATGTACTGAAACTGAATAGTGTCTCTTAATTGTGATCGGACTGGATTCTCGATTCTGTTTGGGTTCCGGAAAATCAGCTTTTTAGAATGAAGGTGAAATTGTCTATTGTTGTAAACGTTGATTTCTGGAATAGTTAGTAAACTGATTGGGGTCCTACCAATTCCCATATCCAGATTAGCATCATAAGCCAAACTCTCTGCACTACACTCGATTAGGAAAAATTCAAAATACCATAATACTACCACATGTGGGTAATGGATATCATAAAGTTAAAATGAAAAGTTTATTTAGTTTGATTATATTTTAGAAAAAAAAAATGAATATCAATTTCGGCTTTTAAAAAAATTTGAATACATGATTTTATTTAATTAAAATTAATTTAAAATTTAAAAATTTATTTTTATTAAATATTAATATTTAAATTTAAACAATAATTTAATTTTTAAATTTTGAATTAAAATTTTAATTTTTAAATAGAGATTAAGACTCTAATTTTTTTAAAAAATCGAAACTAATTACGTATTAATTTTTATTTTTTATAAATTTACAAAATTTTTAAAGTATTAATTATAAAAAATCAGTGCGAATCAATGTTAACTTTTTAAAAAAATTTAACTCCCAACCAATGTTTTTGAATCCAACCCGATGGCTGACTTGTTTTAACCATGAGGTTCGATTCAACTGATTAAATCGATTCATCCGATTGAATCGCTTCATCCGATCAGTCCAACTAATCAACTAAAAAACACCTTCTTTTTTTTTTTTACATATTTGTTAGATTTTACTTTTTCCTCCAACCGTCAAGCTCTCTCAACCCCAGAAACTTCCATCTCACCATCATCTTTGCCGAACTTGTTGCAAATCTCCTCTCCTCAATTTCTAGACTTCTAAAAAAAAAAAATTTTCCTTGATTTTTCCTCCAGGCTTCCTTTGCTGGTCTCGATCCTCTTTCAAGTTTCAATTTTGAGATCTACTTCAACCCTAACATTCATCGTCATCATCATCACCGAACGGCCACTGAAGCCTAATTGGAAGGGAGGAACCAAAAAAATTAAAGGAAGAAGGACAGAGGTTCACGAGAGAGTTTCTCATCGTCGGATCGATTTCGCGGAACGGTGTTGATTGACGACGACGGTTCTACAGCTGCAGATACCTTTCCAATCCGGTACCCACATTTCTTACCATTGGATCAATTTCGCAGAACAATGTTGATCGGTTTTTGCTATGAATGAGTAGCTAACAAAGGCGAAGATGCAAAGCACGTTCACAAGTCTGATTGCTGCAAAATAGATCCCTAAGAGCTTGCACTGCTTGTCAATGAGGTTGATGGAGGAAAGGATCATGCACTTGAAGAAATATAGCAACGACAGATTCTACTCGGCGGGTGGAACAGGTTGGGCGAGCGGAGTGAGTCGGACGGGTCAAGCGGGTTTGGGCAGGTTAACTCTCAAAACGAGTTAAGGCATGTAACTGATCATTTTTAAACCTAGAGTTGGTTGAATCGATTCGATCGACCAAGTTAAGTCGAGTCTTAAAACACTGCTCCCAACTTATAATTAGAAATTGAAATTTCAATTCAAACCCACTTAATTAAATTGAGATTCTAATATATATTTGAGAGTTGAGGTTAATATATATTTTTTTAATTATAATATTTAATATTAACCTATAAATTAATTTCAATAAGTATAAAAGTACCTTTTTTTAGTACTTATTAAAAAAACTCAGGATTTTTTTCAGTCTATAAAACAAAGGGTCAACAATTTTTGGCCAAATATGGTGTGGTTTTGGGCACACATGGCACACAATTAACCAATAATAATCGATAAATAATTAATATTTATTATTTTTAAAAATAGATAAGAAAGGTAATTTTAAGATTTTATTATCTTTACACGGCCAATAATATATTTTTATTATAAATAAAAATTTATTTACATATGTTTTTATAAAATATTGATTATTCAAAGTGAATACCTACTTTTCTTTCTTTTTTTTTCTCCTCATGTTTAAAGTTTTCGGAGACTGAAAAAACGCAAGTTTTTAAAACTTTGTATGAAGTTATGATTTATCATGATTTCACGACAAAACTTTATTCCTGGCCATTTCCAGACAGTGAGTGATAGAGAATAAAGGCTCGGAGAATCATTATTTTCCATCAAATCGCCAATCCAGTCAATGGTATTATCCAGTCTTCAAATTTCCAAAAAAACACAGTACTTGTTCCCTGTTTTTACCTGTTTTTACATTTTAATCTCACAAGTGCCTCCGGTGCTAAGTAAAGTTGGACCACCTATCCATCCATTGTAACGAGTTCTATTCCTTGTGTTGTCACTTCTCCTTCCCCAATTTCCAAGACAGAAGAACAGTACCCAATTGAATTATAGAGCAATTAGCCATATCAAATTTGAAAAAATTGGAGTTAAGGATGGTAGCAAGTCAGACAATGAAAATGCCTCAAAAATTGCGTTCAAAATGGAAAATAATTCCATTCACACATCTAATTGATTCATCATTCTTGCCACTCCCAAAAACGATTCAAACGAAATCAAAATTGGAAAAATGTCTCCCACCTGAGGGCAAGGCATCTGAAATTGCTATTGGATCTAGACTCCCCCCATTAGTTAAAACCACTGAAGATAAAACAGCAAGAGCTATTGAATCCAGGGCTCAAAAAATGGAGGAAGTTAGGAATCCGGATGCAGGAGATGCCTTGTGAAGAAAGACCCAGGGAGGGGGAAAAGGGGAAAACTCAAGAGGAAGACCCTAAAGAGAAACCCCAAAAAATGGAGGGTTTAGTGTCGCGCAGCTATGACTCGAAACGCTTCCATGGTTAGCTGTGGAAGGCGATCTTAAGGGCTGCGCTTATACATAGCAGACGGAGCAGAAAATCCCCAAATTAAAAACTAAAAGGAAGAAGAAGACTTCCAAATATACGAACAGAAATGCGAGAACCAGAGACTGGAGACTGAGAAACCCTAACCCGTCTCTCACCATTGAGAGCCATTTATAGAGCAGCGAGTTCTGGTTTTGATGTGGGATTGTTTGGACTAAGAACGCTCAAGCCCATTGAGACTCGCACCGGGCTAGACGTCAGCCGAGCCCAGTTGTGAAGAAAAAGGCCTAGATGTCAAATAGTATAATATTGAATTGGACATTGTCTCGATGTTGTGTTTTTTTTTTTACTAACCCCCTACTAGAAAATTACATTATCTTAATTAATTTAAAATTGAATCAACTCATACTCAATAAGAGAAAGCTCTTTAAGTATTTATTTCTTCATTTACAAGACTTAGGGTGCGTTTGAAATTATTGTAAAGTATTATTGCTGTAGCTATAGTTGTACTGTGATTGTGTTGAACTATACTGTATTATATTTGTGGTTGAAAATTATTTTAGTGTTTCATTATTTATTTTTTAAAAATATTATAAATGAAATATGATAAATTTTATTAATTATTAATTAAAATTTAAAAATATTGTAAGATATGTAATTATTAAAATATATAATATTTATTATTTTTTAATAATTTAAATTTTTTATATTTGTAATAATTATTAAAATATTATAAATTATCATATAATTAAAATATAAAAAATTAAGTTTTAATGTGTAATTTTATAATTATATTAAATATTATGTGTTCTTTATAAAAATCAAGGCTCTAAAATAAAAATTTTAATTTCATATAAAAAATTACTATAAATCAACTATGTCTTTTTGTAGTTAAAAAAAAAACAGTATGAAAAAATTGATTAAATACATATAAATTTAAAAGCATTATATGGTTATATGAAAAAACTCTCAATTACAATCACAAACATATCTTTAAATTCAAAACTTTATTTAAAAAGACACATATTTCTTTTATTTGAACCAACAATTGATTGTCTTCAATGTTCCTAGTACTCCTTCATACGTTTAACCACTCCGCTAGTTCTATCTTTATGCAGCTACAATCACGGCTGTTAAAAGCATTTCTTTTAATGGAAAAGCTCCTTGTTTGCACATTGTATATTATTATCTTTTATCATTAATAATTTGTAAAATTTTTACTTTTGGTTAACATTTTTTTTATTTAAAATTCATAAAAAATTTAAAATTAACAATTAAGTCACATGCAAATTAAAGTGTAAATAGATAATTTGATTATTAATTGTTGAGCTTTTTTATAAATTTTAAATTTTAAAAGGTGTTAACTAAGAATAAAAGTTATAAAGAGTGTTGATCAAAAATATAATTTTTAGGGTACAAATAGAGAGTTTAACCTATTGTAATTGTATATAATTTTATTTTTTTATTATCTTAAAAATATAAAATAATAATTAAAATTAATAAAAATATATAAATATTAATTAAAATTAATAAAAAAATATAAAAATAAATTAAATCATTGTTATAAAAGATGTTAGGCCCTACATATAAAAAGTAGCAGGCCTCTGCCCAAAGCCTAGGG